GCACTAGTGGCGCTCGTTCTATCATCGTTATAAAATTGTATCAATCTATCAGCAACCCACCGGCAACGGTTTGGCCTGCCTAGCCGCTATTAGCATTAGAGGCTGGTAGTGCAATGCTTAGCACGCGTACCTGAGAAGGGTAAAATCTGTTTCGAACCCCGTCCAACTTTCAGTTTTTTACACATACCAGATAATAATGTATATGTTTTTAACAACATACCACCGCTAAAAGCGGTTAGTAAGAATGATTCTATCTGATTACATTTTTATGTATTCATACTATTTTAGAAATCCGGTTCTGCGGCACCTCTTGAAAATCAAAATGATTTATCAAGATCTATGAGTTTTACAGTTTTGCTGAGACATGATAGAATATTCTCGTAAAATATGCCTGTCGACATACTATTTTATTTCAGTTTATTTCAATCTACTTGCTTTAACATCTAGTGAGCGGTTAAAATCCTTGAACATCCAAGGCTCAATTCGTTTCCTCAATTCATTCTCCATAAAGTATTTTGAACATTTAAACGCTTTGCTTCGCTTGTTACTTGAGGACCTCGCTTCTTTATAAATGACGTGGGATATGTTGAACACGGTTCTTCTCTAAATTCAGAGATAGTCGATTTAAGGCGCTCTTAAACCTCTCGATTCCAAGAAATTGTCGATGTGAGTGCTTCAAAGCAGTGTCTTGCTTATCACCTTGCTTCCTGATACACCGCACCACCAACCATTTTTCAATGTCTCATGCAAAGGTGGCTTAGTGGGTCATTCTCGCTCTAAGAGTTTGTTGAGTATCATATCTTTCTTCAAGCTTGTAAAAAATCGAAGCGTCGGGTCCGTGGTCTTGCCGCAGTGCGTCTGACATGTTGTGGAATCCAGTCGGTGACGGGTCTCGGCCATCTATTGCCGTAACAACGCTTCACGTCTCGCCCACCGTAGCTTCGGTAGCCCTATCACTCACTTGACTTATTCCACGGATTTCATTTCACTGCTGTTAATTCGCTTGACTGATCACTGTAGAAGCAGGTCCGTCGAAAATCGCAAGCTAGAATCAGTTGCATTGAAAATATCACAACACTGCTTTCTTCTAAATTGCCAGAGCACCAAACAGAAGAGATTTATCACTCACTAATGCGCAGATGTTTGAGATGTTGATCGTAATCTCAGCTACGGAGTGTTACAGAGCTATTTTCTGAGGAAGATTACACTGAAACTTTCAAACAGTTGAGCAGGCTGGAGGTTTCATTAAAAAATCCAAATGGCTATAGTTATTTAGTGATAATATTTCCAAAAAGTTTCTATTTTAATCCACTATGAGGAATTTTTTAGGCGTATAGTCGATCTGATCTTCAAGTAGTTCACGCTAAACTGAGCTCGATGCGGAAGCGGTGGCTGGCAAAACTGAAGACGGACGACATTACCCAGCCGCAGTATCGGTTTCCAATGAAGGTAATTTAATTTAAAAAAAATGCTTATTGCATTTATTATAGTGGAAATGCTGCCTAAATCAGAACTCAACTACTGTGATTAAATGCCTGTCTTCTGGAGGAAAATTTCTCCATGAATAGTGGTATATCTCTTTTCACATTAACGTAATGCACACACGAACAGTGATTAGCGATGATTTACATTGCCGCATTGAGCATAGACTTGCCTGCAATATATTTCCGCTGAGTCGTTGATAAAAACAGCTTACTAAAATCAGCACAATGAACTTTAAACAACAGGTGAAAGATGAGCAAAAATAATTTGATATTTGCTCCTGAGGTCAGATATCAAAGTTTCACGACAAATATCAATGAATAAAATTATTGCACTTTCCCTACACAGCGACACTTTACTGTCATGCAAATCAAGCCAGCCACTTTCATTTTTACATTTTCCAGCAGTGGTGGAATCTCCCCAAATCATTAAGCTTAGCCTTTGGTATTAAATTAATGGTTTCTTAACAGACTTTTTTTCTTCTGTTAATTATTAACAGTCGGGAAATGGAGTGGGACAAGGTGACGAATTTTTCGAAGTGGCATTTCACAGTATGAGGCCTTTACTGCCTATTTCACTTGTACTCTGCCTTAGCTTGATATGTGATACCTCCTTTCAAAATTTTGCTCGTATTCAATAAAATTGGAATAACACCTTAAATGATGGTTTCAATCCACGGTATGGAGCAAGTGTGCAAGTTGATCTATCAGGTCAAAGTATGATATGGCAATTCAAGAACTAGACGCACTTCCAGCTTTCATGTCAAGCATCATCAGTAGCACATGCCTTTCGGTCCAACCGAGCCCCTACATATAAAGGTATCGGTGCCGACCATGGTACACTGGAGAGCGTCATGCTATTTACGCAAAAGCCTGAACGTATATTTCGCACTCAAAGTGCCATATCGGAGCTCATGAAGACTTAAAGTATGTTACCAGCTTATACTGTCCTAAGTGAGGCCTCAAAAGCAGTCGAATAGAAAGTTATTGCTATATTTGTTTTATCAGCCACTGAGCAATTAATTATCAGTGCAACGTCAGGTGATCTTATCACCTGGAGTGCAATGTGACATGTTCGGCACCAATAACCTTATATGTGGGGTTCGGTTGAACCGAAATGCATGTGCGACTGATGAGGCTTGACATGAAAGCCGAAAAGTACGCCTATCACTCGAAGTGATATAACAAACCTCATAAAAGGTTCAGAATTCAAGCGCGGTCTTAGAAAAAGTCCAATAGAAAGCCATAACGTAGAGTTGTTAAAACCATCTACTTTTTCCGTATACTATCCAACCAAAAACAACTAACCGAGTGGCTTAAAGAATTTTACGCTGCTTGTACTCATATTCGCTCCGCATCATTCTCAGAGTATATTATGGAACCAAAAACAGCTGGTTGATTGGGTTAGCAAATTTTATGCTGAGTGTAATCACATTCGCCCGCAACGTTCTAAATCTAAGAGTGGGGCAGACTTCCCAGAAAGTTTTTGAGCAAACCCTTATTATTACTTAGTGCTACTCGTCACCTTAATGAAACAGAGATTATTTCAAAGGTATGTTCCTCATTAATTAACGCTCAATTCGATTATAGAGAAACAAATGAATATTCGACCTTAATTGCTGCACATGAAAAGTTTATAAAAATGTTAGTAATCATTCAAAGCTCAAATCTGTGGCTAGCGGTATATGCAACCGATTTTTGAAAAAGTCTTTTTTTAGCGTTATAGCATCTAGAACAAAATTATTTCTCATTCCTCCGCTCGCCTTCAATTTTATCACGCGTATATTTTGCCGGAAACACGAAAAGTTTATGAACGTGCAAAGAAAATCTCGTAGTCTCTAAGTCAGTCATTTTATCTAAGGTTTTCCCTCAAAGCGGAGGAGAAATTCCAACTGAATAACAAAATGCAGCCGATATATTTAATAGCTAGGGCATCGACTGTGCGCAACGTAGAAATCGTTGAAATTTATGCTATTGATTAATTAATTTAGCCTAAAGAGAGAGTTTTATCTGACAAGGATAAAGCGCAACTGTTTTCTGATAAGGATATGACGTGTTTTTAGATGATAGGTCTAGTGGTATACAGGCCCCTGTTTTGTCCTATTGGGACTCATCAGTGCCACCCTCCCTCGGTTCAGTCGATCCCTATGGCTTTATAGATGTTTCCTTTCTACTGCAGTGCTACCAAAAGAGCTTTTCTAAAAATCAAACACATTTTTGAGTTCTTCAAAGCTTGCGCTATCAAAATAAGGAAGGGGCTTTGTCCGGCGAAATATAAGCGAAATTAGAAAAAGCGTGGTCGTGTGAAATTTAATTTCATTTTGGATTCTACAACGTTATGAAAAAGTTTTTGAAAAACCAGCCACGTATCGCGCTAGCCAGAGATTAAGCTTCCAAATGATTCTTAACACTCCTCTGAAAAATTCTTGTACAGCGAATGAGGTTGAATATTCATTTGTTCCCTTATGACCGAAAAGAGCCTCATTTTCTGTAGTTCTGGAAGTTTACGTCGGAGAGCACGAAATGTTGTGACATCAGATTCCTACTGCATCACCATGCAAAAGTAGAACTAATTGAAGTTGAACTCAGCGAAGCAAGAGTTTTTGGGAGCGGTGAAATAACAGATTGAAGAGTGAAAATAAATCTTCCACTCTTTTTCCTCGGTTTTGTGCATTCTAAGGAATTATTTCGGACACAGAAAATGCCTCCGGAAGAAACTAAATGTAGAGCATTCAAATGTGCTTCTTTCTAGTCACCTCTTCATGTTATTATATTGATACGAAAAAAGCACATGTCGCACACTTACAGGAGCTTCCACAGGATCTACCTCCGGAAAATGAAGAAAGAATCCAAACTATTGCTGACATCAATAGAGACGCTAGTCTTAGCGAGTTCATGTATCAATCCGATATTATCCTTACCCTGTAAGTACCATGTTTTTGGCATAAAGAGTATTACTAGACAATTCTGATTTCCAAGATGTAAAACTACTTATATTCCTAAGAGAATTGAGTGGTGAGCAAAAACAGCGCCTCAGTTGGGAAGCGAGCCCGCGTTTCATCCCATCCGGGAGCGCGTGCTCTACTACTACACCAGAGAGGCAGATTTGCTCCATCACTCATTCTTCAACATCTCTAGGTATCTATCAGCCACCAATCTTTGACAGGTTTGGTCGGGTATGCGATTTCGCTCTATAAACCCACTCGAGCTAACAGCCATTATGATTACTCGTACTCGAAATTTTTAGTATTTTACTGCATGTTTCGCAGTGTTACAGTCATTCATAAATTCCTAAGAGAATTGAGTGATGAGCAAGAACACGGCCTCGGACGAGAATCGAACTGCGTTCCATCCTATCCGAGGACATGTGTTCTACCACTATACCAAATATTAGTAATCACAATGGTTGTCGTTCAACTGGGTTTATAAAGCGAAATCGCATACCCGACCAAACCTGTTAAAGGTTGGTGGCTGATAGATAACATAGAGATGTTGAAGGATGAGTGGTGGCGCAAACGTGTCGCGGTGGTGTAGTGGTAGAGCGCGAGTACCCGGATAGGATGAACGCGGGTTCGATTCCCGATTGAAACCGCGGCTTTGCTCACCACTCAGTTGTCTAAAAATTGTATCAATGGTCCAACACTGCGAAAAGTGCAGTGAAATGCTAGGAATTTCGAATAAAACTACTTAATTTATAATAATTCCAGAGAGCAAGCCAAAATAATTTTCGAGGACAGCGATAACGAGAAACGTGCCAGACGACAAGCCTACCGAGATCGCTATTACCCAAACACAATATGGGACAATACATTCTACTATTTCTTTGCACCTAGTGCCAGTAAGCCATCGACACGATTCTAATTCAGATTAGTGGCCGGATTGTTTTTCTTTCTAGTGGTGCAATTTGACATTTATTCATTCGAAAATCGAAAAATTTGCGAAAAACCGACTTGTTGTCACTTGTTATTGTGAGCCAACAAACCAATTAATTTGGGTGGGTACAGCATGTGGTGGAAAATTCTGCGCCTTATTGGGACTTTCAAAAGCAGACCTTTCTTCTTATGTGTATTCGATTTTTGTATCTCGAATTATGATGTCAAATTGAGCAAAAGAAAGATGTAATGAAGCCGGGATGTCCATTAAGTAGCATAAGAGTGCTGTATTCTGCGAGCAAAAGGATTATATTTTATGCCATCAAATCGCCAGAAAAAACTTTCTAGAACACTTCATTCAGTTCCCTTGCTAATATTTTACTCATTTCTACTTTTTTATGTCGCATTAATGAAGACAAAAAAAAACCGAATCACAATTTGAAGCCCAACGAAAGGATGAATTTCAGCTGAAGCTATAAAGAGGGTATTCAAAGCCGCAGCTGAGTTTTGGCAGAACAACACGTGCATTAAGTTCGCGGAAAGTACAACAGGTTTTTGCTACAATATCTTCAATTTTTCAATAAACTAAAAAGCGGAAGGATTATTTGCAGCACCTAATAGGGTTCGAGTGTTCAATGGCGATGGTTGCTATTCTTATGTGGGAAGAGTGGGCGGTGTGCAGGACTTATCGCTAGGAAAAGGCTGCGAAGTCGTATGTTCACTATTAAATATTTACTTACTTAGTTCTCCACTACTTTACCTCACAAGTCGCTCTCGGGCAACTCAAAGAAATGTGATGGATGGTAACTCTCTTTCTTCTCCCCCATAGTGTAGCACTACTTATTCATATGCTTCATGATTGGCCTCTTTTTGCACTTTTATGCTATGAATGGGTGTCATATATCGTGCAGATTTTGGTTTTCCTTTATTCAAATTACTTCCTTGCTTTTACAGTTCACGAGCAACTCGTGACTCCATAAGGGTGGGTTTTATTGCTGTTTAAGCTAATCTTAGCGCTGAAAACTTGTTGAGCCATTTGCAGTGAAAATCTGGGAGAATTTCAAGGAGGTTCTATAGGGAGTCATGTGGCGCAGTGGCCGGAAGTACTCTACGTCGCACACGCGGTCAATGATTCAAACTCACGCTAATGGCTCACCAAGCCATCCAACCCTCCGGGGTCGCTAAATTGTTACCAGACTGGTCTCGGACCTGTCTGGGAGGATAAGCAGCACGCCGTTTAACGGGAGGCCACCGCGAATCATTGTAACAGGCAAGATATGCATTCAATCACCACAAACAAAATTAAAAATTGAAGACGAATGCATGGCGCATCCCTCAGGGATTGGTCAACCCCAGGAGTTTGTCCTTTTATAGGGGCTACAAAGAATGAATAAAGTCTAACGGGTCTGGTGCCACTTTCTGGCCAATTAGTGTTTGAGGGCCCTTTTCATATAAAATGGCACCACTACCACTACGCTATCTGTACTTTTTTTGGAGGAAAAAAGTATCCTAATGTTGACAAACTTGTTTATTATGTTATTACTATAGTTGTATACAGTTATTGGCACTTTTCAATATTTTTGCATTTGATTCGTTTCTTGCATTTTTCATCCACGAAGTTCTTCAAATCTTTTGCGCCTTGGCTGAACTGAACTATTGCTTGAAAAATTGTAATCGGTCTGGATGTGAGTAAATGCTGGTTGACTTGATTTTTCTTGGAGGACTGCAGCTGACGGACTAAAACGTCTGTTGGCTGGTAAACTAAAAAATGCCTGTTTTTTTAAAGTTTTGCTTAAAGCAAAATCTAATCTCGTAATATATTAAGCCTTTTATGGAGTCTGTTATGACACTTCTATAGTAATAAACGTTGGTTTTGGCCTTTCAACCTCATCAGTAGCACGCTGCATTTTGGTTCAGCCAGTCCTTGTAAGCGCTCTCCTTTATATGTAGAGGATATGTTCTCTTACAAGGAACTGACTGAACCGAAAGGCGCCGTGCAACTGAGGAGGCTGAAAGGTCGAGACACATATATTCTACTTTGTAAGTTTGACTTTGAGCGCCGTCCTAAAATAGTCGAATAGGAGTAGTAATGACACTTTACTGATGCGTCTTTAGAGTGCTTCCTTCACTGTGTGATTCTTTTTTCGCCTTTTTTTTTTTGAACGTCGTAGAGTGGTGGCTGAGCATGTCTTCTCGCAGTGCCGAGCATAGCCTCGCTCTGGCCTTCTATAGGGTGTTCGTTGTTGACTGCTATAGAGTGTTGGAGAGCGAGGATCAGCCCGTGTATGCCGCAGCGAGCATCAAAACACTTGACCACAACTCCGCGAAAGTATCATTATTATTATTACCAAAATAATGACTGTTATCATTATTTACTTTACGCGACCTGTCATCACAATTTTTATTGCGCGGATCCGACGCTTTTAGCATTCGATTCGTTATTCGTCTCCCTCCTAAATGACGTAGAAGACTAGTCGAGCATGTCTTCTTGCAATCTCAAGGATGGCCTGGTTGTTGCGTTTCATAGGACGTTCTTGTTGACTGCCGAAGAGTGTTGGGTGAGTAGCTCGGCTCCACGCGCGTCGCGACAAGCATCACGACCACTCGGCCATGGCGCTCCGATTGTTATCATTATTACTGCTGATATGCGTCGCTCTTTTCCTCAAAAATCAAATTGCTTCGTAGTGAAACATGGGTAGAAGTGTCCTAGAATTCCATGAACAAAGTAATTGATCAATAATCATAGACATTCATATACAAAGAAAGCCTTCGAAGGCGGGAGTATCCACGCATAATTTGATGACGTTCGTAAACGATGTTTGCGAGGAAACGAATCATTCTGAATCATGTGAAAATCCTTTCATTATATAGACGCTAGTAGTGTGAATGAATATAAAGTAAATCGAGTTTGTTTTTGTGCTTGCGCTTTTCCAGATTTTTTCTTTGTAAGATTTTCCAAGTTATGACTTAAACAACTTTTTTCCTCTCTTCTTGTTCAAGTTGTTATTCAACTGTTTTTTCAGCTTGGTACTGCAGCACATGAGATAGGACATGCTTTGGGATTTTTCCATACTCAATCACGGGAGGACAGAGACAACTTCATCAAAATACTAGTAGCTAATATTCAGGTAGAATTAAATTTTTGCTTAAATTTTAATTTGAAATTACCATGTCCCTGCTTTGAAATTCCAACCAGTCAAATGCTTCATTAAAGCTTACAGCATAGAAAATTTAATATTGACCATTATGAGATTCAACATGAGGAATTATTTAGCCCGAATATGTTGATCAATTTGGTAAAGAGACCGCCGCCACCAATTTCAATTACGGAATGCCTTATGATTATGGAAGTATAATGCAGTACGGAGCAAGAAGGTGAGGTGATGGTTGGAGAAATGTCACAGAGTTCAGATATGGAGTGCGATTTTACTATAAATATAATGGCGTGTAACAAACTCAACACTGAGGTGCTTCCTTCAACCCGTAGTCGTCATTTTATTTTTTGCTCAAGACAAATCACATCTTTTCGTTTCTTCAGGGATGAAGAAGTTTTACAAAATACCTTGTAAGTAAAAAAACACTTTCTTGTATCATTTTATAAACTTTTCGCATGAGTTTTTACAAGGTTCTAAAACGTATTCTCAGTGCAGTATTTCCAACGTTTCGATGACTTCACCTATTCAAGAGAGCCCTAGCTCTGCTTCTACGATTTAAGAAATGTATGAAAAATATAATAAATATATCATGAACATCTACAGTCTTTCCGCGACTCCAATGCACGAACGAGATCCGTTGTTGTAAAGCTGACGGCCTTTGTCATTTAGAATTGTCTTGGATGTCTGAGGCTTTTCCAAGACGACTCGATATCTTGCGCGTTGACTTCCATGACTTCTCCTTAAGCATTGTGACTACCATTCTGAAATCATCACTACCGCGCTTTTATGACCGGTGCATATGAGTATCTTGCTGGATTTTGAGCTTTCTATCCAACTAATTATTTACGCGAACCTCGACAACTGTGACTCCTGTAAAAAGGGAGCAATACGAATTATTTGACAGCATTGATTCTCCAGCTATTGTTCGCTCAAAAAATGATGTCTAGAATGCTGCATCCTTTAATCTAAATGAGGACGGCTGTTTTATGAACATTTCATTATTTATGTTAAGCTAGAACTTCCTTGCCATCGACTGCCTCAAATAGTAGTGTTTCTAACAAATTTAGTGCTTCTCGTAATGGAAGAAACACCATGGTGGCCAAAGAACCGAATTACCAACAAACTATGGGATCTGACATCGTGGGTTTCTACGACGTTTCCATGATGAATGAGCACTATAACTGTAAAGGTACCAATGTCTCTTAACATTTCACTTATTTAATGGCATTCCGAGAAATATATTTATTGCCCATATGCATTAGCTAAAAAAATAATCGGAACTCCAAATGTCATTTTGTGTGCTTTATCACTTCGTTTATGAATGATACATTATCTTTCATAGAACTCTGCTTTCTTATTTGACTAATTTTTTCAAAAAATTTACCATAGAACATATGCTTACTATTTAGTACAATGTCCGCAAGAGAGTTCGGCTTCTTGCCAAAACGGAGGTTACCCGAACCCAAATGATTGTACAATATGCAATTGTCCAAGCGGATACGGTGGTCCCCTTTGCAATGAAAGGGTTTGCACTTAGCTTGTTCATTCTTTTCACTTGAACCTCAATTTG